CCTCTTAATTAGTTTTAAAAAAGAAAAGCCCAACTCCCAATTCCAATGGAAAGCCCATGGGCTAGAGGAAACTAGAATTCTATTTTCAAATAGTTCTAACGGTCCAAAACAAGAAACCCGAAATCTCACATTAGTTGTTAAAATAAAACTCACAATAATTCGAGATAAAATAATTAACTTCAACTCTAAGACCCAAGAATAATAATTCAAAGAAAAGTATAATTTATGAAGGAAAATCCTAAAACCCCTGAATTTAAGATTTAACTAAAAAAATCTCCTACACGGTCGAGAACTTAAATTATCTTAATCCAATGAAATTAGACTTAATTCTAATTTCGTAAAAAATTAGAATCTCAAAGTTAGAAGATCCAAGAATTAAAGTTATCAACTTAAGGAAAAATCCAAAGACACTATTTATCTCTTAAAATAAACGAGTCAGAGAACACGGGGTGTTACATACGTAGTTCCTATAATTAAAAGAAACTTAATTTCAGTTTCTTGTTTGTTAGAACATTTATATTCCATTTCTTTTAATTTAAATGAAGCGTTCATTTCAAGAAATGGTGTCAATATTTGTTCTGTTTTGCTTGAAAACAACTTGTATGTGCTAAGACCAACCATAAATAAAGCAGTTTTAAATACCGAGTTGTTTAAAAATGCTAAAACTCAAATTAAAATGCAAAAAGTTTCTCACAAAGAAAATACCTATCTTTGGCACTTAGGATTAGGTCACATTAATCTCAATAGGATTTGGAGGTTGGTTAAGAATGACATTCTAAGTGAGTTAGAAGACGATTCTTTACCACCATGTGAGTCTTGTCTTGAAGGCAAGATGACTAAAAGACCTTTTACTGGAAAAGGTTATAAAGCCAAAGAGCCCTTAGAACTTATACATTCAGACCTTTATGGTCCGATGAATGTTAAAGCTCGAGGAGGGTATGAATACTTCATCACTTTTAAAGATGATTATTTGAGGTATGGTTATTTATACCTAATGCAACATAAGTCTGAAACCCTTGAAAAGTTCAAGGAGTACAAGACTGGAGTTGAAAATCAATTAGGTAAAACCATTAAAACACTTCGATCTGATGGGGTGAAGAGTATATGGACTTGAGATTCCAGGACTATATGATAGAAAATGGAATCATGTCCCAACTCTCAGCCCCTGGTACACCTCAACAAAACGGTGTATCAGAAAGGAGAAACAGAATCCTGTTGGACATGGTTTGATCAATGATAGCTATGCTCAGTTGCCTGACTCATTTTGGGGTTACGCAGTGGAGACTGCGGTTTACATTTTGAACGTTGTTCCATCAAAGAGTGTTTCTGAAACACCCTTTGAGCTA